TCTCTCTCTCTCTCTCTCTCTCTCTCTCTCTCTCTCTCTCTCTCTCTCTCTCTCTCTCTCTCTCTCTCTCCCCACCTTTACCTGACCTCTTCCCTCGCTCCGTACCCCACCCAACCTCTGCCCTCCCTCCACCTTCCATCTGCCCTCCCTCCGCCCGACTTCACCCTGCCGTCGTTCCCCTTCCTCCCGGCCTCCTTCCACTTCCTCCTCTTCCTCTTCACACTTTTTCTCATGCTCGTCCCCTTCTTACCTCTTTCCTTCCTCCATATGTCACTCAACCTCTGAACTACGTTCTGCTTTCTGTCCTCCCTTCGCCCTATTTCTCCCTGCCGCCTCCCTTTTCTCACGGCCTCCTCTGGACCTTCTGTCAAACCTCCCTCTGCCCTCCCTCACCTGGCCACCTGACTCCCTTTCCTTCGCCCAATCTCCGCCTGACCTCCCCTCTATCTCCTCCGTCCTACTCCTTCCTCCGCCCGATTTGCACTGACCTCCTCCTTCCCCCAATCTCCTTCCTCCCCTTCCTTCCTTGGCCCGGTCTCCACCTGACCTCCTACTTCCGCCCTACTCTCTGCCGCCTTTCCCCTCCCTACAGGCCTCCTCCGCACCTTCTCTTCAACCTCCCCCTGGCCTCCATCCGCCTAGCCACCTCATTCCCCTTCGCTCGCCCCCTTCCTTCGCCAGATCTCTGTCTGACCTCCTCCTTCCCTCAATCTCCTCCCTCCCCTTCCTTCCTCAGCCCGATCACCACCTAACCTATTACATCCATTCCTCCCTCCGTCCTACTCCCGACCTCCCCTTTCCTCTCTCGAGCGGCCACCCTTCCTTCGTAATGCCCGACATAAGAAATACTTCTTTTCCTTTATCCTTGGATGTAAACGCGCCGTTTGTTATCAAGATGGCTCCATTTCTTTTAAGATCTCAACACTGTTGCACACGCGCAAGAAGGAGAGATGGAAAGCAGGAGAGAGAAAAATGCATTTCACCCAACACACTTCCTTCCTCACACCTTCTTTGTCCTTGTCTGTCTCTTCCACCACCACGTCTTCTGCCTCCTCAAGATCTTCCTCCTCAACATTCTCCCTCGGTCTTTTCTTTTTGGAGCGGCCTCATGATTAATTGCCCTGCGCCAATAATCAGGCTATCGATATTTCTTTCCATATTTCACTCTCTTCCTCCCCTATCCCTACACACACCACACTGGGTCAACTCTCTCTCTCTCTCTCTCTCTCTCTCTCTCTCTCTCTCCCCCCCTCCCCCCCCTTCCCCCCCCCCCAACATCCGCACCCCTCGCTGTGTGCGTTTGTGTGCGACCGCACGCGCAAGAGCACAGGCTTGCCCTTATTCACATTGAAAAAACAGTGGCGCTAAGCCTTAACGCAAATTGAAAAAGCTAAGAAAAACGGAATGCACTCTCTATATCGTCCCCAGATAAGAGAGCACGAAGCGAGGGAGGA